CGCACAACCCCAGATTCCACGGGTCCCTTTGCGCCCACTCATTCACCAGCCAAACATCTGCTGAGCACGTCCTCTCTGCCCAACTGGGATTCCCCTTTCATGACACAAAGTCACTGTCCTCACCAGAAGGTGCACTTCTTCGCCGGGGGTGACTGACAGATGTGCCCCAGTAACAGCACTAGGTAACAAGCTCTGTGCCAGGGGGTACCCAAGAGGGGCCCCGAATCCAAGAGGGAATTCCTCCAAGGAAATGATCAGAGATGATCTCAAAGATCTAGGTACCAAGGTGGTTGCCACAATGCAGCTTGTCCTAAAGCTGAGATGTAGATGCCCAACCGTAGAACAATGGACAGTTGGGCGGTGCTCACCACATGCACAGCAGGCTGCCCAGAGTCCTGAGCGGGTAGGGCCAGAGGCTCAGTGACATGATGCACAAAGCCCCTTGTCCTCACCTTACCCTCAAAAAAAAAGAACTGTGGCCACAGCTGGCCAGATGCAGGAGGAGGGCATGAGCCATATCTGGTTGATGGAATACCACACAGCCATTAAAGATCAAGACAAAGGAAATGATTCCTTCATATGGACAAATGTTCACTCCATATTGCTAAATAAAAATGATTCATTATCACAACAGTATGTATAATATAATGGCACTTTTTTTAGGAGAAAGAACCTCCCACCCCAACACATACGCATGAAAAGATTAGAGCAGACACAAAGTATTTGCTGTGGTTGTGTCTGGGTAATAGGGTTACATGTAATGTGGTTTTTTCATTTTGTGTTTTTCTATTTTTCTGCATTGAGCATGTATTGTTTTTAAATCACCCCCCAAAATTCCCTTAAAAAGTGGGAAACTATTCCTTCTTCTGTAGGAGATACCATAGATGGCTCCGGTGGCCTGGCTCACCAGGATGACCCTGGAGAGGGATCTCAGGCAGACCTTTCCCCAGCCCCCAGCTGCAGGCTGACAGTATGTGCCCTGGTTCTAAGCAGACCTGGTCCATAAAGGTCAGCTGAACCCAAATCGGGCTCCAGGGAGCTGCAGGCTACAGACACGGTTTCTCATCAGATAGTTACAGGTCCCAGGAGGCTAGAGTTTCCAAATAGGAAAAGTAAAAATAGTCTGAAGGAGGCTGATGAACCAGATACCCAGACTCAGAACTGCCTGTGCCTCCCTCTCCCCCTCCTCCGGGTCTGGGCTCCAAATACCACCTGACCCTCCGTTACCACCATCACTGCTGCCCAATCAGATCTCTCCTTCTTGCACCTGGACCAACCTCTGCCCCCGCCCCCGCCGCATTTACCCACCCTGGGCATCATCAGATCAACCCTCTTAAAACAACTCCTGCTCAAAATTTTCCATGGCTCTCTCTGCGAAGCTTATTAAAAATGAAGTCTCCTGGAAGCTCTCCAGAATTCTGACCCAGCACATCTGGGGCGAGGGCAGAAATCTGCATTTGAACCAGTGAGTCTAGCACCTGTCCGTAGGTACCTGCTAAGAAACCAAAGCGTAGGGGAACAAGCTTCTGCTCATTGACCTCTCCATTCCCTGCATCCAAAGGCGGCCTCCACTCGGGACAGTGACTCCGGGTAGACACAGCCCCCGCCCGATGTGTGTCCTTGTCAGAAACTGGTCAGCTTGCTGACACGGTAACCCCAACTTGATTGGCATGCTACACATAATTCACTGGAGTGAACAAAACTGTTTTCTTACTAGCTATGTGTGCTGTCACGCTTCAGGACAATTTAGAACTGCAAACAGAGGGAGCAATATAAATCAAACTCATTGTACAGGGTGGAGCAAAAGTGGGTTTACAGTTGTTCATGTGGAAAATAATACAATAATTACTAAGTAACATACAAGAATAAATTCTGTGCTTTGCATACTCACAACTGTAAATCTATTCTGCCCCCCACTCCGTATATATGTTCCTGTCCTGAATTTAGTAAGTCTGTGGACATTTGGTATTTAAAAGTATCAGTGACATTGAAAAGAATTTGACATGTTGAGTATATGACGCATAAGCATTGTGATTCCAATTTAAAACATAGAAGTTAAAATATACAGCTAGATAATTGATAAATTAGGTCAGTAATTAATATTACACTTGGGATTTTAAACTGAGAGGTTATCAGTGGTTGGAAACACTATCAGGATTACCTGGGGTGCTATAAAAATACTAAAGGTGCCCCCCATGTCCTAATTTCATGTCAGAGATGTATTTTTTTTAGCTTTGTGGGCTGGGAAACAGTAACATAAGAGAATTTGACTGTCTATTAAATGCACTGAACTGTGCCCAGAGATGAGGCTCAGTTGATTGGAGCATCATCCCATGCACTGAAAGGCTGTGGGTTCGATTCTCAGTCAGGGCACAGATCTAGCATGCAGGTTTGATTCCCAGTTGGGGCGTGTACAGGAGGCAACCAATGGCTGTTTCTCTCTCATATTGATGTTTCCCTTCTCCCTCCCTTCCTCTCTCTTTTTAGAATCAATAAATATATATATATTAAAAAATAAAAAGGTACTGAACTGTTTACAAGAACTTAAAATGCACTGTTTATAGGCTTAATTTATTAGGTTTTCTAGTAACTGTTTAAGTACCCTGGGGTAATTATGCTTGCTATGTTATGTATCTGAAGTACTTAAAAAGAAAATCAAATACATTACATTTATAAGTGGAATTAAATGTGTAAGGGAATGCAATTAGGCTGTAAATAAGGCTGAATGTTTAAAGGAATTTAGTTTGTTCAACATTAATCAAAGGAAAAGTTCAGGTCATTTTTCTCAGTTTATTTATAGAATAATAACTTCAAAGTTGAATTTGATGACTTACAGAAAATTACATTTTTAAAAATTGTTGCTCCAAAATGAATTAACTAAAGAGACAAAATAAAACCAAATAAAACAAGCCACAGCATTACTGTCGGTGGTCTTCTCCACCCATCTCACCAAGTCCTCCCTCCTCTGAACTTCCCATTGGCCAGATTTGTTGTTAGCAAGATGTAAGTATTCTTTCCCAGAATCTTCACAACTTCCTGTCCCAATGGGCTACTAGGATGCTTTGCAAACAGAAAATAACCATAGTAAGGAGAACTCATTGTGGATGTATAGCATTTCACTTTTTTCCTCCCAGTCCCCTAATGACCGCTAGTTTTACAAGTCAGAGGCAGACCCAGGCCTTGAATCCAGTCCCTGGTTTCCAATGCCACACCTGTGCCAATGGGTTTTATCTGTGGCCCAGGTCTCTCCCCGGAAAATCAGTTCCAAATCCCCATCTGTCCGCAGACATCTCCACTTGATGTCTAAGGGGCAGCTCAAATTTAACATGGCCAAACAGAACTTGAGATCATCCCCATAGATTTTTAAACTGTTGAGATCAAAACTTAGTGCTTGATTCCTTTTTCCTGCGCACCCTACATGCATCTGTCAGCCTGTGCTGTCTGTCCTACCACCCCAAATACCTCCCAAATCTGACTGTGGCCAGAAGTAACTGAGTGGATTAGCCATTGTGATGGAGGGGACCACAGGCACGTTTTGGAACTAACTGCCTGCAGAGCTCAGGCCGTAGGTCCTTGTGGAGCCACAGCAGACAAGTGCTGCCTGATTTGGCTGCTTTCTTTGCTCATCTACTGCCTTTCAGATAGAGATTTGCTTATCCTGTGGTAAGGAGGGAAAAAAAAAAAGCAAATGCCACAAGTTTGAGAGGCAAAGAGTGGTGACAGAGGAGCCATAAGTGGAAGTGGGGAAAAAATGAAATAGGGAAAAATAGAATTTTGTATTTAAAACACATTCAAAACAAGGACATCCCTGCCCTCAATATACCACATATACATAGATATATTTCTCATTTTCACAAGTATCTTGCCCCCTTTCTCAAAGTATTTTCTTAAAACAACATATACAAGAAGGACCAATTATTTAATACAGCCCATTTCCAAAAATTAACATTTCCCCTAAAATACAAAGATAAAACAAAATTATACAACTAGGCAATGAGGAAAAAAAAATCTGATCACTACTCTAATCCAAACCCTAATCTAATTTCACCATCCTGCGTCAATTGACCCACCAAGATAACTTCCCCTCTTCAGTCCATTCTCCAGAGAGCAACCAGAATGATATCAATAAAATGTAAATGAGAGCACGACACGACCCAGCCTAAAACCCCTCAGTGGCTTCCCAGTGCAATTAGAAAAAACAAGGCTCCTTACAATAGGGTATAAGGCATACATGCGCTGACCACAGCCCACCTGTCATAGCCCACTCACTCTACTTCTTCCTCTCAAACAACCCAGGACTGCAGCAGCCTCAAGGCCTTTGCATCGAGGTTTTCCTTGTTTGACCTGCTTCTCTTCATTCGGGTCTCCTGTTAAGTGTCATCCTGGGGACCTTGGCTAAAATGACACCATCACCCCCTCCCCAATCAACCTGTCTTCGGCTCTTCAAAGCATTACTTGTTTGTCGTTACTGCTCCTCCCCATCCATCCACACCCAGCAGAATGAGTACTCCATGAGCAGTTACTTGTTCACTAAGTCCCCGGTGCATGGTCCAGAGAAGGCACTCAAAAACCACTTGTTAAACGGCCCTAGTACTCCAAAGCTCTTACTCTTTCTATTCTTAAATAGGGATTATGGTGTCAGTTTTCCTGCCTTGCAGGCCAGGGTTCTCAGCTCTAAAGTCCAGGTATGAGGGATGTAAGAAGTACGAGCAGGACTGCCCCTTCCCCTTAAGCCAGGCAGAGGGGTTAAGCCCCCCAGGACCTGACTTTTGCCACAGGATCCAACTGGGATCCAGGGAAAGTTGGGATTGACAGAGGAGACAGGAAGAGAGATGAGCTCGGGACCCAGATGTCAGGACCCCTCGCTGCACTAGCCACTTCCATCCCGTTAAATAGTGCGGCCCACCGCGAGGAGCGCAGACTTAGAAAAAGAGCTCAAGTCTTCCAGTGATGGGAAGGAACCTAAGACTCGACTCTCGACGTCTGGCCAAAGAAAGTACCTGGTTCCGCCCGGACCGCTGGATATGAGCTCCTCCTCCTGGGTCCCTGCGTCGTGAACTGCTTGCTGGGATTCGTAGTCCTTCCTTGGGTATCAGTCCTTCCTTCCCAGAAACCTTTGGGAATTAAAGTTGAAACCGGACACGGGGAGGTGGAAGTAGCGTGAGGGCTTCTGGGTGTTGTAGTTCGAAATAGTTAATCAGGAAGAAATGGTTGGGGAGTAAACTTGTATAATAAATCTTACAAAGCAATTTGAGCTGCCTTGATTTGACTCTTATGATACTTATTTTTTCCACGAAAGCCATCAGTTACCTCCGTGATTCAAAACGACGAGCACCAAGATTCAGAGTGACTACATATCCCATAAAGTATTTCATATTGAGGGCCTTTGGAGAGCAAGGTCAGCTGCGGCGCAGGCGCTGTGTCGCGACTTCGGCAGCGGAGAAACATGGCGGCACCGACATTAAGTGGGAGGTTGTACTCCTTGCTGTTCCGCAGAACCTCCACCTTCGCCCTTACCATCGCCGTGGGCGCCCTGTTCTTCGAGCGCGCCTTCGATCAAGGCGCAGACGCAATCTACGAACAGATCAACCAGGGGGTGAGGGCCTAGGCCATCCCTGACCTTGGGCCCACCTGAGGGGTGACAGTGGGAGTGGAGGTGGGGTGGGACTCAGTGTACCCTTACAAGGGAGAGGGGTAAACCCTGGGCGTCTTCTGTCTGTAGACTGCCGTCTGTCCTTTCCGCTCGGTGTGACTCCTAAAACGTTAAACGAAGTCAATAGATTCCCCCGTTGCAGGGGTTGTAAATATTGCTGTCTCCCACGTTCACGCTTTTCTATTTGGAGAAGCAAAAACAAAGTCAGTGGCAAGTCAGGGCTGGAACCCGGACCTCCTGCCTCTTCTGAGGGTTTCAAGGGCAGATTCAAGCTGCCGACGATCGCAGAAAGGGCATCTCCTTAGACGTTGTGTCGGCCTTTTCAGATAGCACTTTCAGTTACTAAGGCTTCCCACGCAGGCTGCGTGGTATTAATTATGGTTAAGAGTGGGAGCTGTGAAATCAGAGCGCTGGGTGGAAATACTGGGCCTTGTCATTTAAAACTGTGACGTTAAACTTGGGCAGCATTCTTAACATCTCTGAGCATCATTTCTGTCTGTGAAATAGAAACAACAGTAACTACCTCGGAATTATTGTGAGAATTACTTGAGTTATAAACAAGATGCCACAATACCTGCTAGGTAGTACCACTCAAAATAGCATTGTTGCATTCCTCAGGAAAAAGTGGGAGCATAATGTAGGGAATAACAACATCTTTTACTATTTTAATTTTTTCAAATTATAGAAGTTTATTTAGAAAGTTACAAAGGTAGTAGAAATGAGCCAGCTGGGCTGTGTAAGCTCAGGAAGCAGGTTACAGAAGCAAAAGAAGGGCCCTTGGAGCTTAGGAGAAGAAAGGACAAAGGTAACATCGCTGCGCGGAAGAGGGGGCGGACAGGAAAGGCATTCCCGGGAGAGCCAACATCTTTTAGGTGCATTGTGTGGCGGGGATGGTGCTAAGTGCTGTGCATGCTCTAGATCATTAAGTTGTGGCTCACACTAGGAGAGGTCTTGTGCAGCCCTGTCCCAGCATTCACTCTTGTCTTTAATTCATAGCTGTCTGGCCTTACAGCCCCGGCGGGCTCTGTTCACTGACACTGTACTGCCTGTGGCCAGGGTGACTTTCTGCTCCTGTAAAAGTGCTGCCACAGTTCCATCTCCTGCCAGCAGTTACCCTTTCCCAGTGTTTGTGAAAGGCACCTGAGCATGTTGTCATCTGTGAGTTTAGGAATGAGCGCCCAGCTAGTTCCTGACCCAAGGATCGTAGCTCTGAAGAAATTAGGAGTGGCTTAATGTGAAGTGTAATATTTGGGGACTCTGCATTTAGGACCTCCTAAGTGATACTTGGGAGTTGAAGAAATGAGCCGTCTTTCAGGCTCTGTTCCTTAATAATTGTGTGTTTTGGGGCCGATTCCTCAATCTCTGTATCTCAATTTCCTATAAAAGTAGTGTTATTTCTTCCCATTTACTTCACATGGTGACTGAGAGCATCAGAGCGTTTTATAAACATTAGGAATGTGCAGCATGCCTGGCATTGCTTCCAGTTTGCCCACTGCAACTGTCAGGACGTGGTAAGAGTTTCCCTCAAGTTTGTTTTAGAGACCAGAGTAGTAGGAGTAGAGTTGTAAAATGTGAGAGGCGAAACTGAAAGTCTGTGTCTGTTGTCTTTAAAACACAGAAGCTGTGGAAACACATCAAGCACAAGTATGAGAACTAGATCCTCGGAGGCTCCCATGAAAGCCAGAAGGACCAGGTCCACCTGCCAGCTGTTCACCCAGAGCCAGGGCCTCAGCCTGAGATGATGCTCACATCACGCTCCATGGACCGCTCTGCTCGTAGCTGTTGTTGTGAAATGGCTTCACCTGACAGACTCGTTCACTTCTGCTGTGTTTGAAGTATGTTCAGTCAGAGTCATCAGCAAATAAATGTAAATTTTCCTCGAGACCTGCTCTGCGTTGGGTGCTTTGTTGACTCCATCTCATCTTCACTTGTCACTTACCCGAGACCACTTCCAAGTCCTCTGCAAGCATTTGAAGGGCAGATTCCATTGTTTTGGGTTTCCTGTTAACTCCCAAACAATTCTGGTTTTTAAAACAAGAGCTAGAGCCCTGGCCGGTGTGGCTCGGTTGGTTGGACATCGTTCCCGCAAAGTGAAGGGTTGCTGGTTCAAGTCCCGGTCAGGGCACGTGCCTGGGTTGCAGGCCTGGTCCCTGGTTGGGGTGTGTGTGAGGTACGGGGAGGCCAATCAATGTATTTTCTCACACATCCATGTTCCCTTCTCTTTCTCCCTGCCTTCCCCTCTCTCTAAAAATAAATACCTAAAACCTAACAAATAAAACGAGCTAGAGTTGGACATGTTACCTTCATCTATTAAACTGGTAATTCCATTCTTAAATCATACACAGGACAGCTAACTGGCTTGGCCATGGGGAAGCGCTGTGGCCTTAGCTGGGCAAAAAACCCTGGCCTGAGGGTCTTGGGACACCTAGACCCCACACTCTAGTCTCCATTCAGCCTTTAACTTGCTGAGTGTCTTTGGGTCGGCTGCCATACTTTTCTGGGCTGCAGCCCAGAACTCGAAGCCTCCTGCTAGAGAGTCCTGTTCTCTAATGGGCTTCGTTTATCATAGTGCTCTTGGTTTGAACCCTCGCCCCACCAGTTCTAGCTGTGTGAACCAAGGACAGGGCATTTGATCATGTTGAGCTTTAGTTTCTTGTTCTGTAAAGTGGGGGAGATAGAGGTACCTTCTGTGTGCAAGTACCTTTTGAGTATTAAAGGAGTTACTAATGCAGGTAACAGTCGTAGCTCATGGCACTTGGTAAAGGGCACACAGAGGTAACTGCTGGCAGAGAGATGGGGGATGCTGAAGGACCCAGAGAACCAGAAGATTCTGCTGGAAAGCTGTGTAGCAGTAGGAATATGAGGAAAAGGGGTTCAAGGAACTTACTCTGGTCATTCAACAAATGTGTGGGTGGCCGCCGTGAGGCACTGGAGTCAGGTGCTGGGCACATGGTGGTAAACAGAACACGGGGCTTGAACTAGGGGAGCACTAAACATCATCCATACGTACATCTTACAGACGGGCCCATGGCTCTGGGGGGTGCCGAGCAGATGCAAAGCAGTTCTGTTTTGTAACTAGCCTGGGAAGGTAGTCACTTGCCTACCATCTTCCATCCAGTGCCCTGGCATGATTCTGGACCATGGATGGGGGAAGACTCAGGACAGGAAACACAGGCAGAGGAAGGTGGGACCCTAGGAGTTACCTGTGTCCGGTCTAAGGCACGTCTCCATCGAGATTAAGGCAAGGTCTGTCAAAGGTGGTACAGTTCTGGGGGTTAAATCAAGATCTGAACTGAAGGAGAGACAGTCTAAGACTCTTAGGAATGATTTCAGCATCAAACCAAGGATAACCCTGGGGTTGAAAATTGTCCTCAACATTATACTTTCCCAGTGATTTGAGGGCAATGTGCTGGTAAAAACAAAGAAACAAAAAAAAACATAAAGCAGGGAACATTCTCACAGTTACTCTGTTATTCTGCAGTACGTGGTCAGGGCAGTAGAGTCATAATGAGCTCAGTGGGTCTGCTGCCTCAGGTGGGGCACATTCTGCCTCAGTCCAACCAGCAAGCGAGCGTATCCATAAGCCCACCTATAGTTAAGATGTCCCATTATTTGTCCTCGGCATTTCTGGGCTATTGTGTGTGTGTGTTTCTTTTTGATAAGAGCTGAAGTTTAAAATAATAAAACCTGTTTTACCTGTTGTAGGGGATTAAATAGTATCCCCCCAAATTCATGTCAACCTGGAACCTCAGAAGGTGACCTTGTTTGGAAACAGGATCTTTACAGATGTAATTAGTTAAGATGATGTCACACTGGATTGGGATGGGCCTGAAATCCAGTAACTGGTGTCCCGTGAAGAAGGCCACGACAGGACACACGGGGAAGAGGCCGTATGAAGACAGAGACAGAGACTGGAGTTATGCTGTCACAGGCTCAGGAATGCCAAGGATTGCCAGCAACCACCAGAAACGAGGAAAGAGGTGAGGAAGGATTCTTCCCTAAAAATTTTGGAGGGAGGGTGGCCCCGCTAAAACCTTGATTTTAGAGGTCTAGCTTCCAGAACTTTAAGAGAATAGATCTCTGCCCTGGCTGGTGTGGCTCAGTGTATTGAGCCCTGGCCTGTGGACAGAAAGGTTGCTGGTTCGATTCCCAGTCAGGGAACATGCCTGGTTTGCAGGCCAGATCCCCAGTAGGGGGTATGTGAGAGGCAACTGATTGCTGTTTCTCTCACACATCGATGTTTTTCTTCCTCACTTTCTTCCTTCCCCCTCTCTTTAAAAATAAATGAATATTTTAAAAAAGAGAGAGAATAGATTTCTGTTGTTTTCAGCTGCTCAGTTTGTGCTAATGTGATACAGTAGTCCTATCAAACAAATACACCTATCACATTGGCCAAGATAAAAAATGATATACATAATCTTATCGAACACATGAAGAAATGACACTCATGTGCTGTTGGCGAGAGTATGTGCAGCATCACCATCTTCTTTTAAGATATTTGGTACATATGTACTAAGATCCTTAATGTGTATACATTTGACACAATAAATCTCACTTCCAGCAAATTCTCCTAAAAGAAAAATGCATGTCCACAAAAGATATTCATCATAGTGTTGTTTGTAACAGGGAGGAAATGAAAACAAGTAAAATACCCCAAATAGGAATTACTACTGAGGTGAAGCATGCAGTCATTTAAAACTGTGTTTTAACTGGAGGAAAATATCCAAAGTACCAAACCTCACTAATATATGAAGCAGTCTTCCAAATTAATAAGAGAAAGATGAAGAACTCAAAAGAAGCTAGGGTGAGATATGAATACGCAATTAAGAAATACAAATGGCCCCAAACACAAAAAGATGCCCAGTTTCACTAGTACTGAAACACAAAATGAAATTCCTTTTTTTTTTTGGCTCAGCATTATCAACAAAGATGAAAAAGATTAGCAAGATGGGTTTTCTGGCGAAGGAGCAGGCGTCGCCCCGGCATTGGAACAACAGTTTTAGAGGGCAGTTTGGCCCTTTAATCGTTTATTCCTTTTGACCCTGATACTCTGCTCCTAGAAAAATACCTCTAGAATTATATATGTGTGCACACACACAAAGTCATTGGAGTATTGTTGGGAATCGAAGAAGAAAAAGATCTTTCAATGGGGGAGTGGTTAACTACAAAACAGGTAGATTCAAATTGTAGAAATTTACGGTAGGTAGATGTTAAAACGCACGAGATGACTCCGTGTGTAGTGGTAAAGAAAAATAGATTAAGTGAAAAAGAAATCTAGCTGCAAAATGGTATGTTTAGTTGTTAAGTCTGATCCCGTTTATACAAATGCATACACATTGATATGTGTACATGCAAAATTCTGAGGAATATGCGCTTGTTTTCACAGTGGTTATCTCCAAGGGGCAGGGCTTCCAGGACTTGCACTTTGTGTAATAGATACCTACTCTTTTTTTCTTAAAACAAGCAGATGTTGATATTCTAACCCCCCAAAAATTATAAAAAGAAAGCAATAAAGTAAACAATGCATCAGGCTCACAGACAAAATTGGTCAAAATATAAAGCTAAGTGGAAAAGGTGACTTACAAATTTATATAGCATGTAGTACTTTTTCTTTTTGCAAACATGTATACGAAGAAAATTGGAAATGTTTACACCAAATCATTAACAGTGGTTAACATTGGGCGAGTTGTTTTCTGTTGTATTTGTTTTCTTGGTTTTTAAGTTTTCCGCATCAGGCATGTATTATTTTTATAACGGAGGAGTATAAATAAATTAAAAAGGGGCTGCCTTAAAAGAGGAAGTGTGAACACAAAGAGACGCAGAATGTGAGCCCCCTGGCGCTGGCTGCAGGCCTGGATCCTGGCAGCTCAGACCCCCGGGGCCCCTCCCTGAGCTCCCTGTGAGGACTTGCCCTTGAGTGGCACTGCCAGATGAGAGCTGAGCCTCCCCAGAGGCCCCTGGCTGGGTCTGCCTCACAGGTCTCGCAGGTTGGGGATATGAGGATTAGCACCCTGCTCACACTGATACCAAGAAGCTGTTTATTACCGAAAAAAGTTTACCCTCTCTCCTAGGCTCAGCCGGAGGCATTTCCAGGAGTCAGGAGCTGGGACAGTCTTCACAGTTACAAAGCCCCGAGAACCTCCCACCTGCTCCCCTAGCGCAGGTGTCAGGAAAAGCTAAACGCTTGGGTGTCTCATAAAGCAAGTTCCAAGGTGTCTGAAATCCTCTTCTAAGAAGTTGGCATCTGGTATAGCTCTGAGCAAGCAGAATGGCTCTCTGACTTAAGAGTATTTGAGCTGATGTCTTATTCCCCTAGCTTCCCTCTTGTGTTCAAAAATATCTCTCCAAACTGGTAGAAACCATTCATTCATTCATTCATTCATTCATTCATCTATCCATCCATCCAACCAATACATCTTTACTGAGTGCCTGTTCTTCCTGACACTGTTCAAGAACTTGGGCATACCTGGCTGGCATAGCTCAGTGGATTGAGCGCGGGCTGGGAACCAAAGTGTCCCAGGTTCGATTCCCAGTCAGGGCACATGCATGGGTTGCAGGCCATAACCCCCAGCAACCGCACATTGATGTTTCTCTGTCTCACTCTCTCTCTATCTCTCTCTCCCTTCCCTCTCTAAAAAAATAAATAAATAAAATCTTTAAAAAAAAAAAAAGAACTTGGGCATATATGGAGAACTTGGGCATATATGGAGAACAAGAAAGACCCTACCATGTTGGAGCTTACCATTCTAGTAGAGGAGATAGGCAGTAAACAAACAAACAAACAAAACTAAGTAAGAATTTCAAGGCCCTCACCTGGTAGCTCAGTTGGTTAGAGAGTCATCCCAATATACCAAGGTTGCTGGTTCAATCCCCAGTCAGGGC